GCAGAGGTCAAAAGGTCTCAGTCAGGAGCAAGACCTGAGCTGACCCCGTGTCTGGACTTACACACGCAGGCTTCACGTATGTTGCACTGCGTTTTGGGGAAAAGTGGCAAATAGTAATAGAGGTATATATATATAAAAATGTGCAAATGATAACATGTAGAATACACATAGATACAATGTGAATTATCCTTATACAATGATATGCAAACACTATTTAATGTCCAATCAAAATAAAACATCAACAAAGATTTATTTTTTGGGCATTTTTGCTCCCATTGTGTAACTAAATATGCATAAATGTGTGAGTTTGAGGATGTTGATAATGAACTTAGCAAACAGAACAAATGGTATGCATCAACACTTCAGTTATTAGCTGATGTTGGTGCAGAGAATCAATGTTCTTATATGTGTTATTGTGTTATTATGTTGGACACATCCTGTTCACACATAGGCTGCATTACATGGCGGCCAATGAGCCAATATCACACAGGCTGCTTGAGCAATTTCATCATGTCATTCACCTTTTTACACTTCACTCCGCTCCATGTAATGAGCCATTAGAACTGGATCCATCTGGAGGTTCTGTTGGGAACAGTTAATGTTGCTTGGCTTTTATGCTGCCAATGCTGATCATGGCGACAGATGCTTGGGAAACGGCAGCAATCGTGCCCATGTCCAGGATAAATGTTGTCGCTTGTAGAGCTTTGGTATCAGTTTATTACAGTTAACACTTACAAGGTGCCAACACATTGACAATGGTTCGTGTGAAATGTACTTTCCAAACGGGTTGGTATCTTGGTTAAGATTACAGTGTTTTGGGGATATTAAATAATGTAAAATACACATTTTCATACATTTTATTTTTTATTTGAAAATGACCACCTGCAAACACGATCATGTGATTGTAAAGATTTAATCTGAGAAATTCACAAAAGAATTTTAGGGGCAATTCTTCTGTTTTAAAACAAAAGTTTTGGAAAGAGTGGAGTTACATGTTTGTGCCAGAAGTTCCTGATATCAGACTGGACAGATCTAAAAACAACAATTTTTGTTTTTGACGAGGAACAATATGGTAAATGCGTAAAAGCTCAAATAAAGCTACATTTTGCACAATATGTCTGTCTTAATAATACATCATGAAAATGAAAACATTTACTGTTAACGATTGGCTTGGTAAATACTTGTATAACCTGGAGTCAGGTTGACCTTGTGTCAGATTGACCTAAAACATGTTTATTCCAGAAATAAAATCCATGTTAAAAAAAAAAGTGCAGAGTTCTTGTAAAACAATTATAAACGCCCACACAATAAAACCAGTGATCATAATGTTTTGGCTAAACGGTCAAACTCTTTTCAACTGTATATTTTATATGGCCATTGGTATCCATTTGTTTAGTCATGAGACATTTTAGCGACCTCTCTCCCGCCCACTCACTTGGACAGTTCATTTTCTGATGTGAATGCACAAAAGAGAAAAAAACTGTTGCAATTTAGGTGATTAAGTACAGTGGATAATTAATTGGAATAACAAACAATTTCCTCCATGGAGGGTTACTGATTAGCTGTGCTCCCTGCGCTGCCATGGCTTTTTATCCTCTGCTTCAATTATGTTAATGCTAACTTTCTCTCCCAGAAATTATTGTGATTAATTTTCTCTTGTTTTGAATTACAATTGTGCTGGCTGCTCACACTTTAAAGCATTCATTAAATCCCAATTAGATAGGTGGGCTCATTTGCTCCAGTGCCGCCCGGTTCTGTAGCACTTTGTGTTTAATGTGCTAATTGGACGAGATTAAAAACAACTAACCTCTTCTGAGAGCACAGAAGTTATTCAACAGTCGCATTAGCATAATTTATCCGACCATGTTTAATTAGATGCTATCACAGTAGTCACGGCAGGTGGATCACTAAGGGACGGATCCATTTCTGTAAAAGTCAGGACAATGTGTACAATGTAAATACAAATTTACAACTATTCACAGCTCATGGAAACAAGAAGATGGTTACTGTTCTGAAATGTTATCATGTCCGTGAGATGATTGGCCATTTTCACTTTTTATTAAGAATTGTTAAAAATGAAGAAATGAGGTGAAAAGTGGCTGCTCACTTTCTGCTCATTCATTATTTGAAAAGAACTGAATCAAACTTCAGATATTGTTGCGTTTTGAGCTTGTGTGTTTGATCTCAGTTAAACCTACAGTTCACCACGCACACAACAATGTCCTCTTTGGTTTTACGTTCTTGTGAATAGAAATGAGACGCAAAGTTACTGCGTGATGTATGCTCCAGTTGGCGAACATCTTGCTAATATGTTGTGGACGCATAATATGCAATCGTCCTCTATACGAGACACGGCGGGCGTTTCGATTTCTGCATTTTATGTCTCTTCAGTTCTTTTGTTACAAGCACTCGAGTAGCATTAACAGCTCACTATCCCCATTTGGTCAAGACTTAGATTGTCTCTAACTCATTTACCAGTATCTGAAGAACCACGCTCCGGGCCAGCGTGAGTGGAGCAGGAATAGAAGGAGCACGGAGGCTTTCATGTCCCGATGTGATCTCTTCAAATGGGACCTGAAACCTGGAGTGAAATATTGTTTAGCTGTTTGTACCGCACGCACAAGCTTTTTTCAGAGGCGCAAAAGATGAGAGGCGCAGGTGCGTAAAACCGAGAAACTGCTCTTGAGAGGTTTGGTAAAGAACTAGGGTTGTCCAGATCAAAGGAATATAAACCTTGATCATTATATCTATTACGGCTACACCTAGTTTTCTGTGGTCTGAACCCTTTTCAGATTTAAGAGGTGTTTTGGCCATAATGCACCCAGCCTTTGTGTAAGGATTAAATAATGTCATCATTCAAATTCACACTGAGGTTTTTAGTTAAGTGCACATTTGGATGCAATTCTTGCTCCTTCTTATGTTCAGGTGGAGAGTTGTCAGATGTGTTCCAGCTGCAGTCCGTTCTTTTTGCCTTACTTTCACACTTTAGTATTTAATTATTGAAAAATATGTTTTCTGTTTGTTAAGAGAGATTATTTAAACTTTTATTTGCTCCATGGGAGTATAAAAAGTTCAAGGGAAGTTGTCGGCTTTCTTAATCAACTGTTTTTTGTCTTTTATTCAGTCATACCCCAAAAAGTAGTATTAACTTGCTGCATGATTACCTTTTTTAATGTTCTGTGGTTATTTAGGATTTTAATGCCTTGTATGATTGATTCTTGTTTTGTTCAGCACTTTGAGTTGTCTTGTGTATGAAGTGTGGAAGTTTATGTACAAATAAACTTCCCTTGCTTTTGAAAAGCCCCCTTTTTTAATAAAAAATATGTACTAAAAAATCTAAATATTTGTTTGTCGTGGCCCTTCAGTTAAAAACAAACATATTTGTTTGTGGCTGTAAACATGATATAAAGGCCAAGAGGCAAATGTGACTGCCCTTTTTTCTTGTACAGAGCATTCTTTTGAGTTTTAAAATATAAAGGAGAAGGAATAACACAAATGCACTGTAAATAAAGCTCTCTGCATCAAATAATGCTGTAAATCTTAACTGAAAACATGTGCTTTTGTCTGTAACAATCTTTACTGAATGATTCGACTTTTGGACAGCCCTTGTATGAGCAGTACATATCGTTGGCATTTAGGCCATAACTCTATTCGCAACCTGTCCATAAAGTCCAGATGTTTGTAGTGTATGACTAACATTTGTCTCATGTACAGATCCCCCCAGTACATGTTCACATTGAAATAAATAGCATGACATAAATTACACTCCACCTTCGGTGGACTCTTAGTGATTTAGTTGTTTTTTGATCAGTAATCAGGTTAATCAGAGAAAAGGAGAATTAATACATTTGCAAAAGCCCAGTACAGTCGTTTCATCATCACAGTGAATATTTGCACCTCAGTGCCAATGACTTACTACTTTAATATTATATTACTAGCATGTACCACAGATTTAGCTCCAGATAAATAGATTAAAGATGTAGCTATCAATTGTAATTATTATTGGGTTGTAGAGAGTGCAAGTATAGAGTTGTGCAATACTTGATATTCACATATCTTGTGTTGTGTTGTTTGATCCTCATTCCTACTGTTCTGTAACTTGTGATGCAACACTGAAATTTCCCCACTGTCTGGCGAGAAAAAAATCTCTTAATCTGAATGTATTTGATGGTCTTATCACCTCCCTGTGGATGAATGCCTCCTCCGTCTGAACAATCGCTGCAACTTCAATTTCTGTTTCTAAATCCCCGCATTCACCCTTACACCTTCACATTACAAGACAACCAAAGGAGTCCTGGGATTTCTCTCGTAGCTAAGTAGTTATTATGACATATGTGGTGAATAAGGCTGAAGTGCAGTTCTATCATCTGGGATGCGTGTTGCTTTAACCTCTTTCATGTCTCAAGTGCTCGGACACTGGCAAAATCTATTCGTGCCCTTTTAGAATGACAATGGGCTGAATATCATCCTATCTAGTGTTTTGTTCAGGTAATTTGCTGAGCACTTGGAACAATATGGAAGCATCAAGATGAAGACCATTGTTCCTTATGCACAAATGAACACTTGCTTGTTTCATTGTGCACTTTCATCTATATGGAAATGAAATGATGCTCTCTCAGCCCTGTTTGTTTGTCAGTGTTGGAGCCACACGGAACAGGAAATAAAAAAAAATCACCTTTACGCTGGCAACTTTTTAAAGGGCGCCTCTTGTGGGATTATTTCAGGGCAAAACTGAACTGGGTTTGGATAGAGCTGTGTCTGCCGGTTTAGATTCTCATTTTGGCAAAAAATTCCAGTGTACCTCAAGGGTATGATTGGACCATTTGCGCTCGCATGAACATCGTACCTTAAGGGTTGAGGAACCACCATAGTAAATACATTTAGTTTGGCAATCAAGCCAAAATCAAACCAATAGACAAATTAAGTGCTACAAATGATTGGAAAGAATTGCATTGTCTTTCAGCAAGTACTAACAATAATCTGTGTTTGGAAAAGCTTGCATGCCACGCTTGTTTTATCCGCAGGTGGTTGTTGTTGGTGATATTGTCTCTGAACATTTGTGCTACATCCCTACCTCATCTAAATATCTTCCATTTCCTGCCTCCCACAGGTGCACAAAGGAGGCCTTGTGCAGTGGACGTGCTTGGTGCCACTGGGAAGTTAAAGGCGGAGAGAATTAGGAAGGGGCAGGAACAGGGCTCCAAACTACAAGGTAACGAGGGAAAACCAATCCCTCCAGGAATTCTCCTGATACTGAATCCCGCATGCTCACCAGACTCAGGATCAATGCTCTCTCTGGGGAAGAGGAGGAAGAGGAGGAGCACAGCAGGAAATTGGCCCAAGAAAAGTGTGCCAAAGCGAGTCCAAAAGAGCTGTATAACTGTGGGGGTTCTGTTTCTACTCCTTGCTGTATGCTTGAATGTTCACTTATGGCTGAATGCCAGGGCTAAACCACGCTTCTGTTGACCCACTTCTAGAGATCAGCAGCATGTAGTAGTTGTTCTCCTCTATCAGATAAGATTAAGCTTTTCAAAAAACCTAATTAAAAGCCCTTACATGCGACATGTTTGGATTATCATTATCCAATATGAGTTTTTTTTAAGTACAGTGGTCCATTGTTTATTGCTTGTGTTATGTTTTAAAAATGATTCAGCTACAAAATCAGCTATATGTTTGACCCCTCTACACACACGTTTCTAACCACCTCACAATTATCTCACCACTGCTGATTGTACAATCCAAGATGTGTCAAACCTGTGTGTTGTGATTATGAACGCACACAAGAGTTTTCCTCTGACTCTAAACAAAGCTAACTGTAATCATGCTATATTAAGGGTTTGGTATATTAGTATTTTATATGTTTTTGGAGTGCATACATGGGGCATGACATGGCTGTAGAAAGTGTATTCAAAAAGCTGCAAACAGTAACCCATTTATCAAGATGACATGTACTCCACATCAGATATTTGGCTTTTCAAGAATGAAGTAGAACAGTAAACGACACATGCACTGGTGGCAGTGAAAACAGGATTCAGAGCAGGGGCAGAATGAGAGACAAACACTGAAATAAGCATAAAGTCTCTCACTTACTGACTTCAGTGAAGAAACTCTGTGAGCAGAACAAATTAAGTTGTTACTCTGTTCATTTGAGTTAACAGTTGCGTTCTATTGTCCACCTGCAGCAGTGGACTGGTGCATTTGTGCACGGTGTATTCTTTAATGAACGCATTAGGTGTTCTCTTTGAGCCAACTCACACTGGAAATGAAAGACTGAGTTGTTGGTTGCGGGCCCAGACCCTCCCTGTACTCCTGCCTCCACAATGCCCTGAGTCTAGTGCCATGTTTGGAGTGAATGTCATCATCTAACAGAATGAGTGAAGCATCACATATTGATCCACTCCTTTGTGGACCTTCCAAGCTAGTGATAATTAGCATCGTCCATTAGCGACTTTGCCGCGCAAATGCACCCATTAAGAGTCAAAGCTTCTGTTCTTTTCTGTGAGCATTCATTTGGCCCAGACTTTCTTATTTCAAAGGCATAAGGGAATGGTGAAAATATGTTATGGACAGATGAAAAGTGGCAAGTATAAAGTGGGTGTTTAAATGCATTAAAAGGCGGCTAGATTTAATTAACACTCAGGATGGCTGCTTTGTTCCCATGCTGTAAATGATCATCTTAGTGAAGAGAGCAGCTATTATTTTGAGTATGTTGTTAAAAGGGGCTTTGAGATAACATGGCATTGACCATTTTCTTTCTATGACTGAAATGCTTTATTTATTTGCAACCAATTTGATGGCAAAAGTAACACGTCGTAGAATTCGCAGCAAAACTTGAACTCGGCATCTTTTAGTTTGTGATTTGCCTTGATTCAGATGAACAAAGTACGCCTTTATGCCAAGAACAACTTCCTTACCTCAATGTATGACCCTAAGAGCAGCTCATCCATAAACATTGTTTTTTATTTAGAGCTCAGGGTCGAAACACATATATTAGTGTCAATGTATTACATAAAATCAAATGTCTGTTGGTGGTATTTTAGACTGATAATTCATTAGACCCAATACTTTGTTTACGACATACATCACTAATTCACATTACTTATGAGGATAAAACTTTGTACTCAAGTAAAAGTATATTTACATGGCTGGAATATTAGTAGTATTGGTAGGTAGTAGGGCTGTAACAAGCTCATACTTTATGGAAATTGTTCTCAAGAGGTTTTATGACTCAGATATTTCTATAATGACTAATATTTTTAAACATATTTTCTCTATGACGATGATTATTTTCACTGACCTTTCGGGATCCAAACCTCAAATTGAATAAGCAAAAAAGAATACTTGGCCAACCTATCGATTATAATAAAAGGGCTATATAAAGCAAACATATTATCATTATCCTTATGATTATTATTCATGTGTATTTGATTACAAAATGATTTACAAAAACATACTCAATGTATGTGCTTTGAGAAAGTGTTGAAACTTTCCGCCTCCTACCGTATATTCAACAGACAAGCGCCATCACATGTAGAGGGTTATTTTTCTTTTTTCACTAGAATTCCTGTGGCTGACAAGATGTTACTCCACTTTTGAGGACCTCTGATGGCACCTCAAAAGCTCACTGTCCAACTCTCATAGTATTAGTGATATAATGACAAAAACTATTGGCACCATTGGAGGCACACTCATGTCTGTGTGTGTCACGTTGACCTTTCCGACCGTCATCCGCAAACAGGGGAAACGAGCGAAAAAGAGGCCGCGGCAAAGCAAAGTGCTCACCCTAAGCCATTATGATTAACCATGCGCACTTTTTGCAGTAATCATCGGTGTATGGAAAGGGCTGCAGAGAAAAATCAATCACATTATATTACTGTGGACATGCTTTATTGACCCCTGTTGGTGTTCGCGCATTTCATACTTGATTTGTATCTACTGGCAAGCATTTAGAACAATGTCTGCAATTTGGGGCGATGAGAAAAAACAGGGCAGCATTTTGAAGCCTGAAGGCCCATACTTATAGATTGAGAGCTGCTTTATGAAAACCTATTTAGATGCATTTCTCAGATGTAGTTTATGACAAGCAAATGGTGGCGCTGTGCCCTCATTTAAAGCCAAAGCGTATTTGCAGTCGGGACTGACTTTGCCGCATGCATGATATGAGCCAAGCTACGGAGCATATTGTGAGATCAGCAGCAGCTCGCGGTAAATAAGAACTGGATGTCTCATTATCTGAACACCAAGCCGTGACAGCTGTATTCATCCAAAATGCATTGTATGGAAAGGTTAAAAGTAGTTATGAGAGAAGTAATGTATTATTAAAATACCTTTTGCAGTGAAGTACCCCCTGATATATTTTCCTAGGTAATGAAAGCAGGATTCGGTGGAAATGTAGTCATTCTGAGGCCCATTTCGTCGAGCCTTTTATTCGCTCTCTCCCTCTTCAACAATTTATCCGGGGGAGAGTGAAGAGCCCACAGATAGCGCGCAGACAGTAAACATTTTGTTATAGTCCGAACCATGTCTTATTACTGGTTTTTCATTAAAAAAGAAAGCCTTTCCAAGCATTCAAAGCATTTCGCCGGATGAAGATGCTTCACAATTTTCTCCCTCTCACCCTCTTTCTCTGCTCACTATACCTGAATCCTTTCTCTTTTTGATGCTGTTAAGGGAGTAATTGAGTGCAGAAAATGGCTTGGCTTATTTGGACTGAGCCTGATCCAGAAATGATTAAAGCTAAAGGGGTTTGAGGTATTCAAAAGGAGAAAATGATAGAAAAGAATATGGTTAATGCTTTTTTTTTCTTTTTCCATTTTGCAGAGGACAGAAGAGGAGAGAGAGCGCGGCGGGAGGGAGGGGTTGTCGGGCCGAGCGGCAGCCAGACAGGTTGGTGTTGGTGAGGGGGAAGAATGGAGCGGTGGGCTCATAGAATAGCCCCTACTCATACCCCTATTAAAAGCGTGGGGATTGTCAGAGACGGTAAAAAAGACAGGAAATCACTGCAAGAAATGAAGCTTCTTTTACCAATTACTGAATACCCCGCGCACACCTTGGAGCTCTTTGTCCTGTGTAGCACCAGTTCCTCGTACCTATTCTTGCTCTCTCCTCTTTTCTCTCTCTCGTAGCGCCTCACATCCTTTGAGTTGGATGCATTAGCGCCGAGGCCCCCAGAGAAGAGGCAGTGCTTTTGAAAAGGCCCAGTTGGACTCACTTCTAGCCCCGACGTCGTGGCTCCTTTTCAGGCTTTTATTCAGCAGACAGTCAGGGTAGGGCGGCAACGAGGGCGCCCTCAACCTCTCCGCTTAAACATTTGTCTCTGCCTTTTTTTTCTCTCATCTCGGGAGCTCCGGAGAGAGATGATTAGCTAGGCGAAACATTTACTGATCAGAGCAATGCATCCAGGTAGTTAACACACGTCTAGGCAACAACGTGCAATGGACAAATAGAATTGTGCGGTAAAAAGTTGCATGTGGCTGATAATAAATGTAGTGTAGTCTGCTGGATCAGGTCATTGGTTTGTTTGAACGGGACCAGGGGTGAACTGTCATGCCTAACTCTCTTCTCCTCTATTGTATGTTCCTTAGATCTCGCTTAAAACTATTTCTGGTCACTAATGCAGAGTCTACTTAAAAGCCCTGTTTGTGCTGGGATTTCCATTGAGTAATTTGACATTAGAGGACGATGTAGCTTTAGCCTATATATGTCCAAACTTTCTACTTCACCTCTTAGCGCAGGGGCCAACAACATGGATTGTAAAACTTTTTTGACTTTTTCCATTGTGCCGGTTCAGGTTGTATTCAAATGGGGTATAATATTTTTATAATGATTCACACATACAAATGTCAGTACATACAAATAAAGTTGGATTCCAGAGGTCTGAGCTTTAGAACGAGGTACAGCATGACTATATTGGTGGAGATTAGTTTGGCTGGATGACACCGTGAAAGAACCTCAGTGGCTACTTGTTAGCGGCACAGGGCCACTTATGCCGCTTTTCCACAGTGTCAGTACAGTTCGTTTTGGTACGGTACGGTGCGGTTATTTCGCATTTCCACTAGTGATATTCCCGGAGTTTGCGTTACTTTTTTCGCAACACCTCGACTGCGGTTCCATCCGCGCCGTACCCATACCATGACGTGACGTCGGCGTCTGACTTACACCGATTGGTCAACAAGTGTTGACCAGTGTCACTGGAAGCGACATCTGACCCTTTGGGAAAAACAACTCAACCGCCATCTTTAAAACCGGCTGCTCTGCTCGGCTCTGCTTCGGCTACATTACGCCCCCCTCACTCCAGAGAAATGGAATCGCACAGAAAGCCCCAAAAGTCAGCGTCCTGGTCGGTAGACGAGGTCCACACGTTCCTCTCTTCAGGCCGAAAGAAAGAATTCAAAGGCAGCTCAAGGGCTCGACACGGAGGTCTCATGAGGTTTTCAGGGAGATCACCCAGCTCTGGATATGTGACTAGTCTGTGGTAATCCTGGAAATAACTGGTTAGCTACGTATCCCGTTGGCCCAAAGCTCTCACTGAAATGTATTTACTCGTGTAAATGTTCGATTGTCTGTTGTACACAGTGAGCTAGCTACATTTAGCTTCATTTAGCTATCGATAGCAGCTAAGCTAACAACCGCTAACTCGCTACCCCATGGCTGCCGCTGTTTCTCCCTCGGTCCTTTACTGCTCGAGTTGCAATATGGCGAGTTTAAACCCTGGATCCGCCTCTGAGGGTAGTGATAGATGTGTTAAGTGTAGTATAGTTGTAGCTTTGGAATCCAGGGTTAGTGAGTGAGCTGAGTCTCAAGCTAGCACTAGCATTAGCTATACCCAGGCCGTATCCTCGGACAAGCAGCCCTCCTCCTCTGCACACTGCTACACAGGCTGCTATTGCTACAGGTATGTCCCATTCAGATTGTACAGAGCACAGTCAGTGTCCGAGTCATTCTTTTAAGACATAAGCATTTTCAACAACCACTCGTGCTGTGCTGAAATTTCAATGAAACACTTGCTGTTCGTCTGTCACTCGCCCAGCGCCCTGAAAAGGTTTTAGAGGCCAGTTCAGCAGGGGGTAAGCAGAGTCCCCTCGGGGTTAATAACCAGCTATCACCGATATTATAATAAATCCATCCACCGCACCAATGTTACTAGTTACGCGTAAATGACGTGGTTTGACAACGCTGAGGACCTACTAGGAGGTACTATTTTTGATGGAAAAGCACATGAACTGGACCGTGCCATGCAGAGTCGAAACGAACCGTACTGACACTGTGGAAAAGCGGCATTACAATGACACAGCAAGTCACATTTGGCCCGCGGGCCTTAGTTTGCACCTGCATGATTTAAATTATTAGTTATTCCATGGGCAGGTACACGTACTAAATAAAACTGATACCTTTGTCTAAAAGATGTGTTGTCACTGCACCGTCAGCCATCTGCTGACATTTAGAGATTATTGCAGTTCATATATCACACAATTACTCTGAAAGAGGATTACAAAATCAATGTTCTTCTGTGAAATAATTAAATAGACAAAATGACAAAAAAGGATTACAATTGTCCATTGACTTTCTGTCATAATTAAGAAATGAAGGCGTTATAGTGGCACAGGGATATGGTGAGAACATGGTTAAGACAAATTAACACATACATAGAATATATATATATATTTTATTCAATGTTTAAATAGTCGTTCAAAACAAAACTGCATCAAGGTGATGCAATACTGACAAAAGACCTCTGCACAATGCTTTTTTTACTTTGCATTCGGCTGGAACAGCAGAGCACAATATCTGCGTCCATGGAGCCATCTTAACTCGGTTTCTCATTCTGTGTTTTGTGAGCCCTGTTGATGTGGATGCAGTTATGGTGATGGCCGTCTGTAACGGTGTCGTTAAAGAAGATATAGCTGCCAAATTAGAGCTTCACAGAGCACATTCGCCGGCGTCATAGTTGCTCTCAGGATCCATACGTTGTTAGTGAGTTTTCATTGTGTGTGCTGACGAACAGGTCCCGCTCTTATCAAGACACATGAGGATATTATTATGTAAGATTACTCATTCCACAAGGATTTAAATCAGAATGAGGTCCCCGCCAAGCAGCTCCGATCGCGCTACATCATCCCCACCTCATCCATCATCTGGAGTCAGACAACAAGGCGACAGTATCCAAATACCCCACTCTTCCCGCCTGCAATGTTCTTACACTAATACAATTCATTTTGCATCCGTTGCATGATTACAAGGGTTTTAATGATGAAGACTTTTTGACTGGGTGTTTTATTAAAGTCAGATATTACAAAGTTGCCAGATTTGAGCCTATATATGTTCGTGAGGCATCGTTGCTCCCTGGCAGCCATTTGCAGAGTTAATGTGGTAGAAAACAACATCCATCTCCCCTGTTTCCCCCCTCAAAATACTTCCATTAGGCCTATAGCTCTGACCCTATTCTCATTCACTGTCAAATGTGACATAGATCATCGTAGGTGAATGGTGCAATTAGTATAACTGGGATTTTGATGCTGACAAGTCTCGTGATGCGTATTTGAAATCTTGAGGCCAAATTGCGTTGTCGTACGTTCATCCAGCGAGGTAATAAATGGGATAAACCAAGGCAGGGACTATTAGTAACAATGATAGAGTGAGTTTAGTTTGGGAGCTTATGATAAACGGAGGCGGCATGTTTTTGTACGGCTTTGTTTGGTGCTGACATGCACTATATGTTGGAGGGGATTACATTATTTAAACAAATAACCTGCTAAATCACAGCGCAGTGCGACACACTCCCTCTGCTCTCTGGATATGTTTGTCTTGTTTAAAGCTATAGAAAACAGATGGGGGGAGGCATTACTTCTGTACAGTGCTTCATTTTAACAATGAAATCTAATGTTTAGAAATGTGTCTCAAACTTGAATGAAAATCATATATTTCAGATACAACACTGCCATATCAGTGCGTAAGTAAGTGAGTAAAATGTCTTAAACAAAAAACTTTTTCTGGCTACAGGGCTAATAGCTTTACTTTTACTATTACTGTTGCTTCCCGAAGAGATTTATTCAGCAATTCTTCAAATGTTTGACAACCAGTTGGAACACATTATGTATAAATATGAAGTCTGGCACACCTGGTTTGAGCTTGATGAATGCACTGCACATTTGAGACATAGAAAGCTTACACAAAGCTTATATATTTAGAAAAGAAAAAGTTCAGATAGAGTTTATTATTTTGATATTTGCACTTTGTAATATTTGCACTTTAAAATTATGCCTATACCTAACCATTTCCGAACAAAAGTGGAGTTATTCTTCATTAGAAATACAATAGATCACAAAGTTCACAAACCAAAACAAGCACTACACTTATTTTAATGAGACCAGGTACAACAAGTAACTTATATGTAATTCACATATAAGTGTTTTTGCATCAGTCATCAGTGATTTGTGTAATTGCAATGACTTCATCAGACCACTAAGAGTGCATATATTTGCATGCAGCTGCCAGACTGCTGAAGCTGTGCAGGGCAAGGCCTGGTTAGTACTGTGATGGGAGACCTCTGGGAACACCAGGTGCCACAGTGGGGCGGCTGCGGCTGTAAAGTGAAAATCTGTCGTTGTGTCCTAAGACACTTCACCTTCATTGCTTAGAATGAGTCCTGTGTGTGTGTGTGTGTGTGTGTGTGTGTGTGTGTGTGTGTGTGTGTGTGTGTGTGTGTGTGTGTGTGTGTGTGTGTGTGTGTGTGTGTGTGTGTGTGTGTGTGTGAGAATGGCTGGTTTCTGTCAGTGTGCCCCAGGGCAGCTGTGGCTACAGTAGTAGTTTAACACCAGTGAAAGCTATATATAAAACCAATGCATTATTATTATTAATATTATTATTATAACATACTGTCCCTTTTAAGCAAGTAATTACA